TCATATAAGAACTTGACGACACTTTTAGCAGTGTTATCCCTAACTGCTTTAGCTTCTGGCCATTTTGTTAAATAGTCCATGGCAACAATGATATATTTATTTCCTCTACTAGTTCATGGTAAAGATCCAACAAAATCTATTCCAATTCTATAAAATGGTGGAATTAACTGGAATAGGATGTAATTCATTTTTCGTTTTAGGCCTTCCTTGTTATTGGCAAGCATCACATGATTGAACATATTTTCTGATACTTTTATACATTTGAGGCCAATAATATCTAGTACAAACTTTGTTAAACATAATGTCAGTAGAAAAATGTCTAGCTGTTGGATCATTATACATCATGTAAAGGATTGCATCTAATTCAGTTTCTTTAATGACTCTTAAAAACTATTCAGGAGCATTTCTTTGTCTTTGTTTCTTGTATAAGAAATCGAGTCAAACTGTATAAAATTTTGATTGTCTTTTTAATTTTACAATTTCGTTTGAGTTAAAAGATGTAGGTAATTGATTTAAGGTTATATATACAAATAAATTATTATATTGATTAAGTTCCATGATATTTGAGCTGCCTATCACAATGTAGAAACTTTCGCTTTCACTCTAAATAATTTTTACTAATAAAATAAATATAGGTATGAAACAAAATATTTAAATGTAAGAAACAAGAAGACGCTGAGGGTTTTCAAGTATATAATAAAGCTGAGAGTAAAGGTTTTCTTATTGAACTAAGATTGGTTCATCCCACCAAAGGTCATTAGTTAAATAGTTAGAGTTCATATCTGGTTGAATTTGTCTTGGACCAAATCTAATGATACAATGATATTCAATTGTTTCAAATGGCAAATTTCTCTTACAGGCTTTGCAATATGTATGAATATGATGGTTTTCAATGTCACAACTATAGTTACATTGTGATTCTCCTTTAGTTATTAGTTGATTAGCTATAACTTGCTTAATCTTGATGTTTTCTATAAAAATATCCTCCAATTCATTTTTAGGACATTGATATCCTACAGTGATTAAGGGTGCATGAGAGTACTGTGACATAAACTCTTTCTCTAAATCTAATTCTTCTTGTGATCGTTCTGATGAAGTTTCACTATTTGCAGAAGAAATATACCATTCTATTTCTTCATTGTCGTTTTCATTTGTTGTAAGCATAAAAACTTCTTTTGAGGAATTATCTTGTTCTTTTTCAGAGATTAATCGAGATAATGCATCAGCGTTAGCATTATTTTCCCAGGTCTATGTTGGATATTAAAGTCATATTGTTGTAATTTCATTATCCATCGTGCACGTCGACCTTTTAGTATTTTTGAAATTCTCAACCATTTGAGGGCAGAGTGATCAGTTACGACAGTAAAGGGTTTAGAGCTAAGATAGTAATGAAAATTTCTAAAAGCCCAAACTACTGCTAAACATTCTTGATCTGTAATTGGGTAGTTTTGCTCAGCTTTATTCATGCTTTTGCTCGCAT